AGATGTTTTTTGGCAAGCAGGTTAAACAATATCCTATTCAATGGGGAGTTACATATACTGATTTTCATCATGCCTCTCTCCCTCTTAAATATCTTGGGGTCAATTTGATAAGGGGAAGGAGGAAACAAATTCATATAGATGATGATATAGATAAAATCAACCGTAAAATTAATGATTGGAGAAATGTTTTTTTTCTACTAGGGGCAGAATCTCTTTGCTTTCTAGTGTTCTTCAGAGTATTTTACTATATGCTTTGCAAGTATTCAATCCCAAAAAAAGGTCTATTAATGAGATGGAGAGGCTTTTTAATAAATTCCTATGGGTGGGGAATGGTGCAAAGAAAATTTGGGGCACTTGGCACAAAGTTTGTAAGCCTAAAAAGGCTGGAGGGTTTGGTTTTAAGGCATTAAAACATAATGTGGAAGTAAACCTTTTCAAACTTTGGTTTAAATTCAGATTGGGCTCATCTCTTTGGGCCTCCTTTTTGCATAAAAATATTGTGCTCAAACTCATCCTTGGTTTCGTGAAAGGTTGGTGATTCTTGTATTTGGAAAGCTGTGGTTAATGCTAGAACCACTGCTAATGATTTCATATTTTGGGACATATGCGATGATAATATTTCTTTGTGGAATGATAATTGGGGGTTGTCACATAACTCTGATTATTCACACTCTCTTCATCCTAATTCCTTATTGGTCTCTGATTTCTTTATTCATGATGGATAGGACTTCTTCAAATTGTGTTCTATTGTGGGGGAACAAAATGCAAAACATATTCTTACTATTCTTATTAAACCTACACGAAAGGATCTCCCCATGTGGAAAAAAAACAATTCTCAATCGGTTTGCAAACTTATTTATGACAATTTACATTCACACCGTGATTGGTTACGGGGAAAATGAATTTGGCATAAACTTTTATCTCCCTCTATAACCATTTTCCTTTGGCAAAACCTCACTTCTTTAATACCTATTGATGATATTCTTAAGTTAAACGGCTTAAAAATGGCCTCGAGATGTCATATGTGCAAAATGAAGGAGGAAGACATGAGACACATTTTCTTTGAATGTGCTTTCTCTTTAAGAGTTAAGGATATGCTTGGTGCACATTTCAGTTTTTCTTGGATGCAAGAGGCTCTTTAAACAAATATTTATGGCAATGAAAAGATTTTGATATCTGTAAGGAGGGGTTTCCCCTTTACTAGTCCTTTGGTTCCTTTGGAACTCCAGAAACAGTTTTAAATACCATACTTCTCCCCCACTGCTTCTATGACTGTTGCTTATGTGATTGCCTATTACAATAAAGCCTTAAGGGCTGGTTCTACTCAGGTTCAGGCTTTAAAGCCCCTCGGCTCATTAGGTGGGCTCCCCCCTCACCGAGTTATGTTAAATTAAATGTGGATGGCTGTTGGCATCCTGATTATGCTGCGGTTGGGGGGAATATTTAGAGATTTTGAGGGTAGGTGTCTTTGTTTTTTCACCTCTCCTGTTGTTGCTGATAATCCATTAGAAACAGAATGCTGGGGGTTTTTTTTGGCATTAATGGTGGCTAATGTTTTCAATTTCATAGATTAGAGGTGGAAATGCATTCTAAAATGCTCTATAATATTCTTTTGGGTACCTCTCCTCCCCTCTGGGATATCTTTTGCACTTTTAAAAGTATTTTAATTTTTATGGCTGAAAAGCAACTTGAGGTAAACTGGAAATTCATTCATAGAGAGGGTAACTCCCCTGCTGATTGGCTTGCCACGGGCTTGCCAAGCATGCAAGGGAGGTCTATCACGTTGGTATCCACCCCCCTGCTCCTCTTAGAAGACTCCTCATTTGGGATAGCTTAAATCTGCCACATGTCCGTTTTTAATCATTTCCGCTTATTGGCTCTAAGGAGGAGCTGCTTTCGGTTTGATGGACTGGGTCTACATTTCTCCTCTTGCGGGTTTTATATTTTGCTGCAGATCAAGTTTAGTTTTCTGTTTCCCTGTTCCTGACTCCTGTTTACTGTTTTGATCTCACGGTTTTTACTGGTTTTTCTCTGCCCGTGGAGATGATTTTGGAGAACTCTGCTAATATGAAGACACTTTTGTACCTGATTTCTACTTTACTTTTCAAGTTACTTCTTAAGCAACACAAGATCACAGACTTACTTATTTTTTGACCTTTTGGTTTTTTTTTTTTGGGTATACCTGTATTTTGAAGATTCTTTTTTGTGTGAGTTGTACTGTGGGGATAGAAACCCCTAGGGGTGTGTCAATTGTATTTTTTGGGTTTCATAGACGGGGATCCTCCCCCTCCCTTTTCTTGTACCATATTTTTAAATTAACACGTAGAGAGCCACCGTTGTTCTTTCCTCAATATATATATATATATATATATATATGTCGGAAGGGCCTATTGTTTAAGGGTTTCGGGGTTTCAGACGCTATCATCTTCCAACTAGTCTTCTAACTACAATCTGAGCTATAAGGTTTCATCGATTGTGGAACCATTTTCTCGAGAGAAGGAGAATGGATTCAAGCAGCAGACATTCCCGCAAGTGGAGAGCCAATAGGGCCATCTCTTCGTCTTGGTAGTTTATCACCCGACTCTCGAAAATTTTACGGTAGACTTGGGTTAGTTCTTCCAATACTGCATTTCTTTTGGGGTTTGTTGGATGCTTTGTTCGCCGCTACTGCGATTTTTGTGGTGAGGTGTTTGTTGGTTGTACTCCCACATCGGGGTGTTATCCTTGCCATATCTTCTTGGTGTTTTTGCGGTTTCTTGTTATTCTGATTTTATGACAGCTCTCTCATCTTCTTTTGTGACTGAACCTACTCCGAATGTGGGCAAACCATCCTATGCTGTAGTGGTTGACAAAGACCGTGCTCCTTTTGACCTCGGGGATACTTCAGTTTTTCCGCAGCAGATGTATCACGATTCATTTGTTGGACATGAAAATTGTACCTTCATAAAAAAGCAAGAAAAAAGGGGGGCAAACCAGCATTAATTTTTTTTGACACTAAAATGTCAACCCGTGCTAAAAATCATAAATTTACACTGTTTGGAAAGTTTCAATTGGGTCACCCTAAGATGGAGATTATCAGGAAAGTGTTTGAAAATTTCAAGTTAGTTGGGGGCTGGAAGGTGGGTCTCTTTGATGAAAGATATGCTATGATACAACTGAGTAAAAAAAAAGACTATGCAAGGATATTCTTCGTAAAATACATCTAAATTGAGAGGGAAAACATATGAAATTGCTTAAATGGTCCCCTGACTTTGATCCAAATCAAGAACCTCCCATTGTGCCTACATGATTTAAATTACCTGGACTCAAGCTTCACTTCTTCAACCATCAAGTATTTTATGCTATTGAGGCTATTCTTGGAAAACCAATGAAGTTAGACATCTCTACCTTTAATCTGTTAATGACTTCTATTGCAAGGGTTTTAATAGAGGGATATTATACTTCCAGATGTAGAAGAAATCTGGCTTAGCACTGCTCACAATGGTTACAGACAACAAATCATTATGGAACAAAGACCTTACTACTGCAATCATGGTAAAATGTTTGACCACACACATGATAAATGCTTCAGATTACACGCAAAGTTGAAATCTAATATTCCAATACAACTGGATATAGATGATCCTATGGATGAACAATATGCAAAGAAACCATCTATTCTTGACATGTTATTTCTGACAGTGCAGTTTTAGAACAAAACGCAAAGGAACCCATGATTCCTCAACATGTGAATTCTACTAGTAATACCAAAGAGACAACTTTAGATCCCGCAACTTTATTGGAACCTGTTGGTACAAATGTTAATCAGACAAATGAGTTGTTTGTTGTTCCCATTTCTCACAATGGAAGCATTGCTACATAGCCTGATATTGCTCCAAGTGAACCTGATGAGAACCCACCTTTATGCAAGTCTATTGAGACCCCTGATCCCTCTCGTTTGGTTGTATTGATAGTTCACCATAATGAGTTGACACCACTTATTGTTGTTGGGGAAGGTACTCATGCATGTATTGATAGTTCACCATAATGAGTTGGCACCACTTATTGTTGTTGGGGAAGGTACTCATGCATTGAATGAATGCCAAGATTAACGTGAGCTCTCCACTGAAATCAATCAGTTGAATCAACAAGTGGAAGATGAATGACAGGTTTATAAATCCAAGAAGAAGAAAAAAAGAATGTCTCACCTCCAGAATCTACAGGATAACTTTTGATCGTCTTAGGTGGAAGCTCCCTTCACATTTTGTTGTTGGACTCCATTCCTAGAACCAGGGGGAGGGGAGAAGCAAATCCTCCCATCATGATTGATAGTTTTGCTTTGCTTTTGAGAAATTTGTCTATGCTACTTTTTTGGGGCATACATGTACATTTTGCCTATTTTGAGTAATGTATGTCTTGTGAGTGGGCTCTTAGCACCCGCTCACTAAAACCTTTGTATCCTCTTTTTCATTAATGAAAATTTTATTTTGGCGTTATATATAATTTTGCCTCGCAAAGTCATGCATTTGTCCACTCCAAAATGCATGTTGTTGTCCTCATGTGTAGGTAGATTTTGTGTTTTGTGTTCAAGCGAGATTCACAGAATATTTTTGCCACTTTGCATAGATCATCTTGTGAACTGTCATAGATTTGAGAGACTCAATGTCGATTGAATAATTTTAGATTTGATGTTTTTGTCGTCACATTTACTGTTTGTTGCCTCCGTCGGATAACCCTTGGTAGATATTTTTAGTGCGAACATAGAATTATGATAATTATATTGAGGTTAATAATTGTCAGTCTATACTTCAAGCTTATGTAACACCATAAAATGTGCAATTGCATGCTCTTTCAATAGGTGAAATTACAATAACAAATGTAAAATATATGAAATTACACCTTACAAACTATATTTGTTGTAGTCGAATAACTACTCGTAAACATCTTTAGTTTCATGCACTTCTCTACATTGCAATACATGAGCATAAAGGTATAAAGTAACAATAAGCAAAGATTAGTACCTTCCCGTCATAATAGCCCTGCAATAAATAATTTACCAAACCGAAATCAGCAGCTGATATATACACGAATCTTTTGACATCTACAAGCAAGAAAAAAATACTTAGCCATACATAGGCATAAGATCATCATTCAAACATTCCAGAACACAAGTACAAAATATAGCGTTTCAACTGCCCTTTCACACATGACAAATTGACAACCAAACAAAAAGTAACAAAATAAAAAAAACCATGACCTAATGATTATATTTATGAAATGGTAGAACATAAATAATCAAATACCTTGCTCTGCGGCAGTTCTGATAGCATTAATGTTTGCAGTCCCATTAATCTTGTACATTTGAGAATATGATCCAAAACCTCCAACACAAGATATCTGCTTCATCAAATACTATGAGATAAAGCGAGAAACAATCTAATTTTCTTAGGAATTTATTCAGAAAGTTCCAATCAACTCGAAAGCCGATTTAAACTACAATATTAAAAAGTTTTCTCAAGTTAATTGTAGAAACATGAAACTAGGTGCAACTGCGGTTGGAAAATAGAAGAAACAATATGATCAAATCCTATTTCTTCTTAATCCTAGAGTTCCATGTCAAAAGGAATATATAATGAGAAATGATAATACAAGACGTTACTTCTACCAAATTGGCTACAGATTTTTATGATGGGCTCATTTGATATTCTTAATCCACTATTTAAAAAATTATTCAAGCCACATTTTAAGCTGTTGATTTGAGACCCTGAATGAACCCACATTTTAAGCTGTAACTCAATACCCAACTTAAACCATAAAGCCTTCCAAAAAATAGCTAAAAAACTTTGCATTTTTATCTAAAGTGATAGCAAATTGAACCTTTCTCAATAGTGCTAACCTAAAATGTAGACTGTAGGTTCGAAGATCCTGAAACCTACTTAGGGTCCTGTGCCTAGTATCAGCTACTCAAACTTATTGTCTTCTAGAACAACCAATGCTTGTCTAACTAGTGCTTCTTCAAAGACCCACAAAAAGATAGTCGTGATATTATATTATCAAACTACCATTTGGTATATCCTATAAACTGTGATCATATCTCCTATCTTCAACCAATATAAGGAATAAATTTGAGTGTGCTTCTGTGCATCCGGAATTAAATAGCTGATCATTAAGGTAAATACCATATTTTTACAACTACCTGCATAAATGATAAGTTACACACATTTTCCTTTATGGTGCAATGGGATTGATTAAAGTTATAGCATAGCCATTGTTGCTCTCTTTGTCAAACAACTAGCATCACTTCCTCCTCAGTCGGGAGCTGACACTCCACTCTAATATCCTTACTTTCTCCTGTGTCACGATTCATTTCTTCAACTGCTCATCATTCAGTAAAAATATCACCCTCCTACTTGCGAAATCAAACAAAATGTATCCAAAATCACGACACTTAAAACATTTTTTATCTAAGAAGGGTTTGGGAGTGCTAGTGATCTCCATCTTTCTCCACTTTGGGCTAGTTTCTCCCCAAGCACGGTCATCTTATGAGCGCCAATGAGTATACTCATACTGTTTAATCCTAGGATTGAGCTATATATGTAAGATGTGGTGATCACCTAATGAATTACTACTCCACCATTAAACTTAAAGTTTATACATCAAACATAAACTAATAAGATTGCAGTTGTACCACAATAAATTGCTTCAGTTCTCCAAGATATCTCATCATTATGTGTTTCTCTAATTCCACCAACACATATTTCCGTATGAGTTAATCAAATTCAGTTGTGTATTCCTCCACGGAATAATTTCTCTGGCACAGGTTATGGAGTTTTGTGAATATGCCTTGTTGGTAATATTAGGGGAGGTATTTGCACTACAAGTCTCTTTTCATCTTAGACCATGTGGTGATCTTACTCTTCTCTTAATACTATTGAGGTTCTTCCACCATAAGAAAGTATTATTCCTAAGCTTGATGATCCCATTGTTGAATACTATTGAGGTTCTCCCACCATAAGAAAGTATTATTCCTAAGCTTGATGATTATCAATTTAACTCTCTTCCCTTGAGAAATATTTTTGTACCAAAAACTTCGTTCTAATGTTTGGAGTCACTCAATAAATTCATATGAATCCAAACATTCATTAAAATCAAACAAATCAATCTTCACTCAAAAATCATAGTTTCTCCTCCGATCCGATAATCTATGTTAAATTGTTGGGGTATTGGTTCTTCATTACAAAAAACCTTCAGATATCAGGGATTCACTTCCTCCTCGCCGTTGTGACTATGGGTGACCTATCCAACTTGTCTCTTCTCATAAATGACAAACTTTTTATGAGCATCTCGTTACGATTTTTACTTGGTTGCATGGCATCTCTTTCTTCCAATTAAAATTTTGGCTAACAAGGATTTAGTGGTTTAGGATTAGAGTTAGAGTTAAGGCTAGGTACATGATATGAGAATATATTTTTTGTGAGGGTATTAGGTTAGATTATGTGTAGTTTTAGTTTGAAGCAAGGAAGACAAATCCCAGAAAATTTATGGTTTATCTGGTTCTAATACCAAATCATAGTAATCTAGGGTTGTTAGACAGCATGCGATTGCCCAGAGAAGGGTTAGAATGATGTAGGATGTGTAACCGGAGTGGAAACAATGATGTTGATAGATGAATGGTGAAAATTGTTGTAGGATAGCAGGTTGTATGATAGGAAAGCAGACTGACGACTTTTCGAACAAAGAATAGCAACACTAGTAGTGAAGCAGCGAGGTACGGATGATGAGGAGTATCCACCACCAGCTTTCTTCAATATACATAAAAAATCAATTGAAAGCGAAAGGCTACATTACTCCTAAATGGAGAAAAAATCTAAAAGTAAACACAAATTATCACAAAATCAAGACAAAAATTGTTTAGAATCTAAACAATCAATTGAAAGCGAAAGGCTACAATACTCCTAAATGGAGAAAAAATTTAAAAGTAAACACAAATTGTCACAAAATCAAGACAAAAATTGTTTAGAATCTAAAAAGAAACAATATATTGTACCCAATTAAAATAAATCCTAATAGTAATTAAAACAATATTAAATAGGGGCTCACATTGGTTAGCAGCTACACAGCAGGCGAGAGAATCCCTCAATAGTAAGTTTAATGAGGTAGTATTGCGCCCAACCCATCCCGCGATCTCGCTTCTCTTGTGTAAGCGTGATTGTGAAATCCTGCAGCACTCACTCTCTCTCTCTCTCTCTCCCTCACTCTCTCAAATGTACTCGAGTGTGGTCTTAAATTATTAAAAAATAAAACAAGGGTGTATTTGAAATTGCATGAATTGCCTGCTTTTAAATACATATTTTATGTAAACTTGCTTATTTCTTATAATTCAAAGCTTCCAAAATTATAGAAAAAAAATCATAAAATTGTGCATTATGTCTAGAATATACAGGTGAAAGTAATTTACACAATGAACATTGGACGATTCCAGAAAATTCTCTAGTACAAAAAACATAATTCCTTATGAAAGACATCAAATAAATAACCTCCCATTTCACACCCACAATGCCCTTAAAAATAAGAAAACATATTCATAAATTAGAGCATAGAATACACTAAAATATAACAAAGAAGGTTTGTAAAATCAAACATAAAATGAGCTTAAAATTTCCTTTTTGTGCTTATAGAAAAAAGGAAGGGGGTATAATTAATATAAAAAAATAAAACAAGAAGGTGAAATCCTTTCTGTGCTACTTCTTCCTAAGCAATTGTGGAACTTTAAACCAAGCCTACTTTTGCATAAGTAGTTTAAAATAGAACAAGACATTTTGACCACATTAACATCAAGGTCTATTCTATGTATAAATTGTAATGCACAAAACTCACACAGCTAACTAAGCAGCTTATGAAGCCCATGTAGGCACATTTGTGCTAGTCAGCAAAGCACCAGAGCTGGAAGCAATCATGAATCAAGGTGTTTGGTAATTCTCACAGCAGTGTTTTTCTAGTGATATGAAAAGTTTATACCGATTTTGAAATGGAACGTGATGAGCAAATCAAGCATGGGTCAAAATTCTCTAGCACCAGCTACAGCTAGCACCAGTAACGCCTTATCTCAACAATATCAAAGACAACCTTAGAAGAAACTGTAATCTAACCTTACAATTTGCATTCCTAGAAAGTATAAAGTAATTCATTATTTGATATCACAAAACAATAGTTCCCTCATAGCAATGTTCTCATTTTATTTAAATTAAATTGACATCTGTTATCATACATGCAAACATATTTAATAGACCAACCTATGAATTGATGTAAGTAGATAATCATCCACTTACCACAGAACTGACATCATTCATGACATCCTTCAATGAATCAGGGACAAGAAGACTTCCTGCATAAGAAAAAAGCATAAGGTTTCAGTTTTCTATAAATATGCATGGAAAGAAATTACAATGCTATTTGCTCTGACAAAACAACCTTGGTGCCAGACAACACTATCAGCCCAAGATTCCCGGATGGATGATCGTCCAGATCTAGGAAAAAAGTTAGAAAAGAAATAATGTCAATATTCATTAACATCTCCCGTTTAATTTGAAATTTACCGGGCATTTCCTAAATGTTGAACAATTGCAGCAGAAATAACTAAAAGAACTTTTCAGATAAAAAAGATGGCATTACTTGTGAGCACTATAAAAAGAGGCAATGTCTGCAAAAACCAACATATATGAATACACTATATATACTTCTAAAACTTCATTCAACTCCAAAGACGAGCATAAAAATACCAAGCTTATTAAAATAGATGATAAAACTGCAAATCATACACATCATTTACAGGGAATGAGAAAAGTTAAAGTGTACAATGGATACTACATCGGGGAAAAAAAAATGAGTATTAGCATCTACAACTACAATCCAAAGCTGCAGTAAATTAGCAATAAGGCTTGATGACAACCCTACAAGGATTAGCGATGAGCACAAACTAAGCCCTCATCCTTAGCTATAAACAATTTTTTATTTTATTTTATTTTATGTTTTACAAAGAGATGCTAGTGGAAGTTCGTCCACCATTAGAGTTCTCCATGCATGTGCAGCACTCCCGGCGATACCTGCCGCTAGAGCTTCACACAGCTTTGTCTGTGTAAGCAAGGTGCAGCTTTTGTTTGCACGATGTTCTCGAATTAGCCTGCAACGATGGCGCTCACAAGGCTTGGTGTTTTATCTCTTTATAATGTTTTTGTGCGGACACTGTTAGAGTACATGAGTCTTTTCTTTTCGGCATGCAACGTTGTTCACCCATTCTCGTCCAACATGAGGTGCAGGGTCTTTGCAATGCTTTATTTAGCTTTGTTGACATTGATATCTCAACGACCTGGCTCCAAGAGCTAACCGCATCGTGGTGTCCTCTCTTCTACCACCGGTGATTAATTTTAGCTATCTCTCATAAGTTTGTGGTCATGCAAATTGAAGCACCCAATTTTGATAAACAAGTAAAATTTTAACAATTTTAAAATATACCGAAATTTTGCAACCCTAAAAATTTAATTGAATCAATTTTTTAAAATTATACGTATCAAATTGATCAATATGATATATAACACTATATATTTATGAATATAATAAGAGTTATAAAAGTAATAAAATGTTGACTTTATTAATTAAGCATTCAATTAAATCCTTAATCTCATATTACTATTTCCACCGACTCTTTTCTGCGATTCTCGGTCATTGGATGCAATCAAAGGCTTGGGATTAATCATGAGGGTGAATAAAAGCATGGGAAGCTTCAAATTCCATTCCCTTCTCTATAAATATCTAAATTTCGTGTCTAGAGGTTTTCGACAACATTGCTACCATAGCAGAAGCAATATGCACACACAACATAGAGCCTTAGCTCAACGGCTAGAGGTTCCAGCGAAATTTTGGTAAGAAAATTCATTTTTTATGATATTCCGGACATTCTTTTCCTTTCTTATGTTTCTATTTTGAGGTTTGCAACGAACCGGTTTGCTTTATTGTTTTCGATTGCTATAGCGAGAGATGAACTTGTGCAGGAGACTATGAAGTTGGTTTATGGACTGTAGTATAGGCAATTAAAAGAAAAGCAGCGAAGTAAAGGGAAGGTTAGAAAGGGGGAGGGGTGTTTTGGTAATTGAAGTAATTTATAGATATAATTTATGCAAGGCAACCCATTCGAGCTTTATGTGAGTTAAATTAAGACGTTGGAGAAAAAAATTATGAATATCCTAAGACGTTTATGAATTTCAGATTGTTCATACCATGTAGCGAGCTTGAAAACTCTTCATAAGACTGTTATGTCACATCAGATGAAATAATCATGTGTTAACTCAAGAAAAATAATTCTAGGTAGATTTCCATGTGATTATGTGTTTGATACTATTGCATCTAAAATTTTTTACATATTGTGAATGAATACATGCATTGAATGTATGAATGTAAAATTGATTAGTCACTTATGATACCTACAATTTTACAATGTTATGAATATGATGAACACATTTATGAATTCATTGCTTGCAAGTATTCATTTACTATGCCTATGCTGAATGTTTGTTACAAGAATTATGATTTAATAAATATCACAAGTGATGTTATATGTAAACTACTATATGAATAATTGCATGTACAGATGAAAGAGAACGATGAAATTCTATTCAAATAGAAAAGAAACTACAGAAATTGTTGAGATCAGACGAATATAGAATGTATATAATCATTGGTATAAGAGAGAATATTGATAATTGTTATGTTGGAAGGGGACCTTTAATGTAACATTCGGGCTGAGTGACAACCCATGACATGACATGGAAAATAGTTGATCTCTATACAATTACAAGTAACATTCCTATAATTAGATTGATGACTCTTATGAATATGCTTATGATTATACATGAATGGATGAAATATATATTTTCTAGAGTAATCGTGATTTTCTATATTATATACATTTTTCTTTTTTATGTTTTGTGTATTTTATATGATTATAACATATTGTGAAATGTGTTGTGAATATAACAAGAGTTACATATGAGCGTGCAAGTTGTTTTTTTCCCTCTATAAAATCTTATTTTAACATTGATTATTTTCTTAAGATTGTTGAAATTCATTCTACGTTGTTAACTTTTAGAAAGAGGTAAATAGCACCGAGATAAGCAACAAAGAGTGACTTGTACAACTTTTGCATTCATAGCTTTGGGAGCTCGTATAGGATTTTGACGTACTTTTATTACATTTGATTTAACAGCTCTGTGTATAAATAAATATATATATATATATATTATTAATATTATTATTATTATTTTTTTTTGGGAAAGAGCATCTCGTAGCTCCCTACGTGTGAATATAAAATAAGAGTACAAAAATAAGGAGGGAATAAGGATCCCAAAAAACAAAAAAAACCTAGGAGTTTCTTTATCCACGTTACAACTCCACACTAAAAGAATAAAAGTAAAAAAAGTGTACCCAAAAAAGGACAACAAGTCCAGTATACCAAAACAATTGTTTACCCCACAAAAAGATGTACACCAAAAAATTTAAAAAGAACACAAAAACAAAACAAAGAGCTCCAAGCGGCATAAAAATCACAAACATCAGCTTTCCACGAGAAAACCTGCAGTAATAAAGGCCAGAGAAAGAGAGAGGACCCGTGAAAGTAGAGATTAAGTTAATGAAGCCAATAAAACTCGTAAACTCAGGTGCAAAGGCTGACACCCAAAAAAAGTACCACAAAACCCAAAAGTAGGTACCACCATAAGTACCTGGTGAGTGGCCAAAACTGCCCCAACCGAGAGCCACTGTAGTAGTAACAGAGATGTAAGGACAACCCCATTGATATCCAATGCCAAACCATACCACGAAATAGATAATAAAGCTAAGAGGAAACATCCCGACGTACATATGGGGCATCAATCGTGTCACCACCCAACAAAATGTTTAAAGGAGGGGGGGATCAGATCCCACCCAATAGTTATTAGAGGCGCTACCCAAGCTAGCAAGTCAGTTTACGGGTTGGTTTCCCTCCCGATAATTGAAGCTCCATAGGACATTTATATTAGTAATTAAGCATTTAATCCTTTTAATATAATAGAGGATGTCCCAAGGTGCCTCGACACCCTTGGCAATAAAGTCAACCAAGATGCGATTATCAAATTCAAATATAATAAATTGTCATCTAAGAGAGTGCACTATCATGACAACCATCAAAATAGCCAGAGCCTCCGACCATCAAAATAGCCCGAGCCTCCGCCTTCAAAGGAGTATCAACGTAAAATGGGGAAGAAAAGAAGATAATACAGTTCCCTGCACAATTTCTAGCAATACCCCCGCAACCCGCATTGCTAAATTTCCAACTCCCATCAGTGTTTAAACTTTATCCAACCCCTAGGAGGTGACCTCCATCTCTCCAAAACAGAGAAGAGGAGATCTCCTCTCAGCCATAACCGCAGGCCCCATAGCCAAAAAATTAATTAATGCCCGAAAAGAAGCTTTGTTTAGCATTACCCATTCTCCAAAGTTTATTAATGTAGGCAATAATATTAGTAAAGACCATTATATTCTGAATGGCTTTACCCTCATGTATAAAATCATTACGAGCCATCCAAATAAACCAACATATAATATACGGGTAGACTTGCAACAAATTTTTCTATTTTCGATCCAGATTGCAAATCATAATGGTAAGTAAGAGATTCCGCTCTGGATTCACAATAACACCAAACCACATGCCAACATTCCTCCAAATGTAAATTGAAAAGGGGCAAGAAAAGAAAATATGGTCAACAGTCTCCTACGCCGAGTTACACAAACAACAACGTGAGGCAAGTCTCAACCCCTTCATTTTTAAGATATCATCACAAGGAATAAAAAAATGGAAAATCCGCCAAGCCAGGAAAGACAGAGGGAGTTAAAACCCAACTCCACACCCCCTCTCCCTAAGGGAGCTTTTGAAAATTATGTAAAGCGAAATATAAAGATTTGGTAGTGGAGCATGACATTGGAAGTTTCAAAGTAGGAGTATCTTGCAAATGAGGCTCAGGGTCTGTTTGGCGCAGCTGCAGCTTCTCAGTTGCAGTTGCGCTGCCCCAGGAAGCTGTTGTGGGAAAGCTGCTGCGGCGAAGCTGGCTGGTTGTTTGAGGTAACTGTGTGAAAACAACTGTGGGGCAGCTGTTTCTGGATAAATGACAATTCTGCCCTTGTTCTGTAATGATGCGCTTAACAGAACTATGATAGCCATAAATTTAATGCCTTTAAGGCAAAAATTCAGTTAAAAACAATACAGAATTTCAGAAAGACCGAAAGCATCAACCAACTCATCTGCAATCCATCATTTGCTGTATGCAATGCCATTTCGAAAATCCATATAACAATTCATATAGCCTTCAACAAATTACATATAAGACAGGACATAAAGTAATAATATCTACAGGTTCAACAGCCAATAAATGACTTGAATATGCAACTTTTATGCCATGCAAGGTTCAGCGGTAATAATTTGTAAAGTAGAAAGTGATAA